AATGATGATGATACTGTATGTGTAGTCATTCAACCAGGAAGTACATGTATGTGGTTTGCCTCATTTTGAGTCTTTATCTTGACAAGAGTCTCTCTCTCTTTTCCTGCCCCTCTACTTTATCAAGCATGAGGTTCTTCTCCGGGGACTGGTCCCTCCTGGGAACATGGCCAAAGTATGTGAAATGAAGTCTCATCGGCTTGCTTCTAAGGAGAAAGACGTCTCTTCTTTTGACAGTCCAGGGTACTTTCAATGCTCTTTGCCAGCACCGGAATCCAGATGCATTGATTCCCCTTTGGTCTCTCTCAGTCAATGTCCACCTTTGAAGTTACGTAACTTCAAAGTCTTAACTTGCCAACATTTCAGTTTCACTTTAGTCCACAAAGAGAAATCCTCGCTTCCCAATACTTTAAAGAGGCCTTGTGCAGCAGACCTAAAGAATGCACTATCTGAATCCCTCGCTGCTGCTTCTTTGAACATTGATCATGGGAACTCAGCCAGATGAAAGCTTTGACAACTTCAATCTTTGGTGGTCACGATGTGATCTATTGGTCCGGTGGTGAGAGTTGTTTTATGTCAAGTTGCAGTCAATGGATGGCCCAAACCTGTCATCTTCACCAGCAAGTGCTTCAAGTCCCCACTTTCATCGAGAGAGGTTGTGCCGTCTGCACATTGCAGGCCATTCACAGACCTTCCCTCAATCCTGGTTCACATTCTTCTTCATATAATCCAACGTCTGATGATTTTCTTGGCATACAGATTGAATAAGTATGGTCAGAAGAACCAACCCTAATGTACCTCTTTCCTAATTTTAAAACCATGCAGTATTCCCTTGTCTTGTCTGCAAAACTGCCTCTTTGTCTGTGGACTAATGCCCTTTGAACACAGTGAAGTGTTCTGGAATTCCCATACTTCTCAGGCTTATCTATTGTCTGTTATGATTCACAGGGTGGAATGCTTTTACCTTGAACATAGCATCTGGAATTAAGCAGAGTGCTCAGAGCTGATCCCATCATTTATTAGTTATGTAACTTCAAAGTCTTAACTTGCCAACATTTCAGTTTCCTTAACTGTAAAATGTGAACAGTATATTACTTACCTTTTAGGTGTGTAGTGAATGTAACATGAGATAAACTATACAAAGCTCTTAAGCAAAATGTGCATTGCATAGTAAAAATTAATGTCAGCAATTTTTTCCATTGGAGTGCAAAAGGACTGCAAAGTGGCACAGGAAACTTGGGGGATAATTGATATGCTCATTGTCTTTATTGTAATGAGAGTTTCACAAGTATATCACATTGAATGCTTTTGATATGTCATGTTTATTTTAGGTCAACCATTATTTCAACAAAACTCTTGCAAAAATATTGTCTGTCAGTTTAAAATTAGGATCTGGAAAAATACTGGACAATAAACATTCAGAAAACACAAGAGATAAGTAGACAATTTAACTCTTAATATGTCAAAATCTTTCAAGAAATCCTCCTAATAAATGATGGATGCAGTCGTAGGACATGAAGTTTTTGATATGTTTGTTTTCCGGGTCTACCAAACATTGTTTTAAATGCTTGGAATGAACCCAAAACAACAACAAAAGTATATCTTTTAGGAAAGTGTTCAAAGGAGAGTCTAATTTTAAGATTAGGGGGCAGTGATGGTTGGGGCAATGATGGTTCAGTCAGGAGATCTGGTGGTACAGTGGTTAAAGCATTCAGCAGCTAAGTGAAAGTTCAACAGTTTAAACTTAGCAGCTGTGCAAACTCACCATCTGCTTCACTGGAGGACGACGTGGCATTCTGCTTCCATAAATATTCCATCTGTGGGAATGCTATCACCTACTTCTGCTCTGTCCTGAGTTGGAATTGACTAGAGGGTAATAGTTCAGTGGTTAGAATTCTCCTTTCCATGTGGGAGACCTGTGTTGATCTCAAGCACCATCTGCTAATGGAAGCTTGTGTGTTCCCACAGTGCTGAGCAAGTTTCAGCAAGGCTTACAGATTCCAAAGGAAGGAAGGAAGGAAGGAGAGAGAGAGAGAGAGAGAGAGAGAGAGAGAGAGAAAGAAGGAAAGAAAGAAAGCAAGCCTGGAAATCTACTTCCAAAAATCAGCCAGCAAAAATCCTATGTATCATAGCAGTTCTATCCAAAATCAGTCCTCGGGTGGTGCAGTCCTGATGGCAGCTAACAGCAAATCGTCACAATTATCTAGAGAAGAAGGCAGGAAAGCTAATGCTGCTGAAAACCTGTGAGCCTTTTCTAGTAAATAACATAGAGCTCAGAGATGGGAAAGTTAGAAAGTTGGCAAGGTTCAAAGGGCAGGGGAGAGAAGAGAACTTACATAATGAAAGAAAATTGATCAGATCTCTAGGCTACATTAAAAAGTAATCACATTTCTTAAAAGACACTTTACACTCTGTACAGCTCCATCTTGAGGAAATAATAGGAAATACTAGTTCATATTTCTATATTCAAAATAAACCACTGTCGTTGCGTCAGTTCCAACTCATAGCGACCCTACAGGGCAGAGTAGAGATGTGCATATGATCCTGAGGCTGTCAACCCTCATGAGAGCAAATTGCTTCCTCTTTCCCCCTCAGGGTAACTGGCAGGTTTAAACAGCCAAACTTGCTTAAAGTTCCTGCTTAATCAAGCCCAATTCATTTATTGATTTATTCATCCAATATTTACGGAACCCTTCCGGGCATCCCAAGAGTCCCCTGGTGCCCTAGTTGGGTGCTCAGTTGCTAAACAAAATGTTGACTGTAAAAGCCACCAGTGGCTGCTCAAGAGAAAGCTGTATCAGTCTGCTTCCTCAAAGATTTATGGCCTGGGTACCCTCTGGGTGAAATCGACTGTCCCTGACAGTCGCTCTGACTGGCAGGGGGTTGCTTTTTCCTGTTGTTTTTTCATGCACAGGAAACATTGTTCTAGAGCAGCAGTTCTCAACCTGTGGGGGTCAAACAGCCCTTTCACAGGGGTCGCCCGATTCATAACAGTAGCAAAATTACAGTTAGCAATGAAGTAGCAATGCAAATAATTTTATGATTGGAGGGTCACCACAACATGAGGGACTGTATTAAAGAGTTGCGGCATTAGGAAGGTTGAGAACCACTGTTCTGGATGCTCTGGATGAACAGGAAGCAGTGAAATTCCTGTTTTCTTGGCACTTATCTGTCCCATTAAATCGGTTTGTTGTTTTTGAAGTCATTGTGGTCATAGTCCCTTGGCAAAAAAAAATGTCCTAAGAATTTCAAGGACGTCTTTATTGTTGAAGACAAAAAAAGAAAGGTCATTATGAGTTCTCTTTTTTAAATAGGCATTCTTAGAAGGAAATTAAGTCAGGGTGTGTTTATGCCTCTTTGCAGGCAATTCTCTGAGTGTTTGTGTAAATGTATGGAAGAGACTGTAACCTTATCTACTTTGGGGACTGAAACACATCCTTCTCACGGCCGAGAGTGTGCTTCTGAAGCCTTGATTCTCAGATGCCCTCCTGGAACGTGTGTGCTCCACATCGCCCAGTGCTTGGGTGACGCTGCAGACGTCCACCCACCCCACTCCTAACCCCAGGAAGGTTTAGACTTGAGCAAGGGTGGATTGAGGAGGTCAAACGTAAGTGCATCAATTTTGAGCTTGTACCACGACAATGACAGGTTCTTGCAGTGTGACTAGTGAGAGCTAGGAAGGGTTGGGATATATGAGGGGTACCCCCTCAAAAACGGATAAAAGCTCCGCGGGGTGGAGTTTTTGAACTATGCAATTCGCTCTGGGAAGTGGCTTCACCTGGGAAGGTTCTCTCTGGTCACAGTGAATTTTTTTTCGTGAAAGCAGTTTTGCTTGAACCTCGTTTTTTTTGTGATGGCCGATTTAAGAGAACAGCGTGCTGCTGTGAATTTTGTTACCTGCTCTCGAACAATGCTGCAGAAACTGTTGCGACGTTGAACACAACTTACAAGGACAGCGTTATAGGGAAAAGGTGCATTAGTGGTTTTCTTGTTTTAAAAAAGGTGAAATGTTGATTGATGACAAGCCTCATTCTGAACGTTTATCAACTTCCAAAATGGACAAAAATGTTACCTTGTGGTGCAGTTGGAGTTCGCTCCACCAGGTCAGACCACTGATCAAGTTTTCTATTTAGAGATTCTGAAAAGATTGCATAACAAAACAGTCCTGATTCATAGCAGATGGTGGACTGGTTTTGCCAACACGAAAATGTACCCGCTCACGCAGCCACCTCAATGCACCAGCTTTTGGCAAAAAACAGCATACCCCTTTTGCCCCACGCACCTGATCACTTGACCTCAGTCCGTGTGACTTCATTTTGTTTTTGTGAATGCAGAGGGACATGAAAGGACAGTGATTGGACAATGTAGAAGAGGTGAAAGAAAAAAATGAGGAAGGTGCTATTAGTCATCCAAACAGATGAGTTTGAAAAATGTTTCCAAGAATGGAACTGTGGGTTTGGTAAATGCTTTAAGAATAATGGGGAGTATTTTAAAGGTGATAAGGTTGTTTTGTTAAAAAAAAATTAAATACATAGCTTTGGAAAAAAATATGGTTTTTTAAGCCGATAGATTGACTTTAAGCTCCTTTCCTCTCTACATGTAGATTATAATGAATTTAAAGGACTGACAGTTTATGACTAGTGAGTGGCCCTGAATCATTTACTAACTTTGCCTTGAATAGGCTAGATCGTCCTGATTTCTCTGTACTGCCAATACCACCACGTGATAGATGCATCTTTGACATGACCCCAGCAACCTTCTCAGTGAACTCTACTCTGTCTCTTTAGCAATTACAAGCCAGCTGGACTGGCAAGGAGGTTTTTGTTGTTTTGGTTTGTTTGTTGTTCATGTAAAACAAAGACCATCCTAGCTGCTCAGACCTCATGCCTCCACAACACGCTCACATATTAACACACAAGATGTTTGCTTTGGGTTTTTATTTAAACAAGCTCGGCAGTTTGGATGGCATGTTGAGAGTGCTTACCAGGTGAAATGCAATTTGTTTATATTCTCTCATATGTCCGAGTGCAGGTAACATTGTTCACAGCACTGTCCTAGAAGACAAAAGAAGGGTGAAGTATGTCAGCCCGGCTGGTAAAATTGATGTTTAGAAAAGTGCACAGGACACGCGGTTGCTGTTTGCTGTCAAGTCCATTTTAACTCACAGTGAACCTATAGAGCAGACTAGGGCCTCGGGGGTTGTACATAAACCTAGAGAGTGTCTTTCAAACAGAACCAGGGAATATCTCACGGTGTACAATCAGGGACATTTTGTTTCAGATATTTCACCATACTTATTTAACCTGAGAAAATAATCCAAAAAATATATGAGGGAAAGCACAGCATTGGGATTGGAGGTACACTCATGAAAACCTATATTAAATAGTTGTTGTTGTTGTTGTTCTAGGTGCTGTTGCGTCATTTCCAGTCTAGAGCAACCCTGCGTACAACAGAATGCAGCACTGCCTGTTCCTTCACCATCCTCAGGATGATTCTTTTGTTTGTGCCCATTCTTACAGGCACTGTGTCAACCCACCTTTGGGAGGACCTTCTTTTTGCTGCTCCTCCATGCTACTCAACCTGATATCCTTTCCCAGGGCCTGCTCTATCCTGAGCATGTCCAAAGGACAAGAAGTAGTAGGGCTATCCTTGCCCCTAAGCACCATTCTGGCCATACTTCTTCCACATTTGTTTATTTTTACAGTCCATGGTACATTCCATATTCTTCACTGGCACCATAATGCAAATGCATTGATGCTTCTTCAGTCTTCCTTATTCAATGTCCAACGTTCACATGCATATGAGGCAATTGAAAATACCAAGGCTTGAATCAATTGAACCATAGTCCTCAAAGTAATATCTTTGCTTTTCGACACTCTAAAGAGGTCTTGTGCAGCAGATTTACCTAATGCAATGAATTGCTGGATCGCTTGACGGTTGTTGTCATGAGCATTGAGTGTAGATTCAAGCAAGATGAAATCATTGACAACTTGAATTCTTCCCCTATTTATTATGATGTTACCAATTGGTCTACTTGTGAGGATGGTTTTTTTTCCTTCTTTATATTGAGTTGTAATCCATACTGTAGACTGCAATTATTGAACTTCACCAACGGATGTTTCAAGCCCTCTTCACTTTCAGCAAGCAAGCTCATATCATCTGCATATGGAAGATGGTTAAAAAGTCTTCTTCCAGTCCTGAGGGGGTTAGTGGCACAGTGGTTACACAGTGACTTCTAACTGCAAAGTCAGCAGTTTGAGACCACCAGATACTTCAAGGGAGAAGACAGTGTCTTCTGCTCCCAGAAAGAGTTACATTCTTGGAAACATGAAGGGACAGTTCTTCCCTGTTGTGTAGTGTCCTAATGAGTCAGCATCAACCTGATGGCAGTGATTTTTTAATTTTGATGGAAAGACTAATATAAATGATATCACATGGATCTTGGCCAAAAGCAGAGAATACTAGTGAGACGTTTACTGTGTTTTAATATGCCAAGGGATTCAACTATATGGATCATTTAAAAAAAAATAGATTGGCTTGAGAAGAATGGGAATTCCAAAATACCTCATTGTGTTCATGCAGAACTTGTACAAGAATCAAGAGGCCATTGTGGGAACAGAACAAGGGCATCCTGCATGGTTTTAAATCAGAAAGACAAGTCAGAGTTGTTCCTGTCAGCCTACCTCTCTGTATGCTCTGTATGCTGAGAAAATAATCAGAAAACCTTGACCATGTGAATAAGAATGCAGCATAAGGATTTCAGGATATACAGATGCCACACCTTGTTTGCTTGAAGTAAGGAGGACTTGAAGCACTTGTTGAAGAAGATAAAGGACTGCAACTTTCCATATGGATTATGAATCAATGCAAAGAAGACCAGAATCCTTTGGTCACAATTGAGCCAACAAACAACATCATGATAAATGGAGAAAAGATTGAGTTGTCAAGGATTTACTCTTGCTTGGATCACAATCAATGCTGATGGAAGCAACAACGAAGAGATCAAACTATGCTTTGCCTTCAGTTCATCTGCTGCCAAGACCCCTTTAGTGTCTTGAAAGCAAGGAGGTTACTTTGAAGATTAAGTTGTGCATGACCCAAGCCATGGTATATTCAATCACCTTATGTGCAGGTGAACATTGGATATCAAATAAGAAAGACTTAAGAAGAATAGATGCCTTTGAATTATGGTGTTGGAAAAGATTATTGAAAGTATCATGCACATTGGGCCTCCACTCAAATACTCTCTCAATGCAAGGATACTTTCTTCTATTAAATTGGCATTCTATGATGCTCACCTTCCCGACACAACCGCTGAAGACAAAGGGGGTGAATAAGCAAA